TTTTATTTTGCATTGCGAAAAAAAATTATATTATATGATTTCAATAAATCAAGAAAACGAAATTCAATTGTCAATCAATTGCATAAGCTTCAATTGCTAATCGAATACGATGATCTCACGCGAGATTTAATTGAATCTTTTACTAAATTTTTATTCTGTTTATTTCTGTTTAAATTTCATTCTTTGATGTAAAATAAACCTTGTATTGACATTTCGATAACTCAATTGTCTTAAGTAAATAAAACTCAAAATTTCAGATGTCAGATATCTACATTTAACGTTAAATGCACAACGTAAATAGAGCGCTAAATCTCTGCTAATAATCCTTTGAAGCTGTCAAAGAAATGTCTCTATTTGTTATATTGAACGCGCATGAAACCGTAGCAGCAAATTTGCAGCAAAAAACGAAGGCTATACACTGAAATTTAGGCCAGGATTGAACAAGAAAAGGATCCTCAGTAGATCAATAGAAGAGATAATCTGTTTTCTAAAGACATAATAAACTAGACTTGATGTGATAATTACATGTGAGACTCATGTATTTAATTGCTCGGCACGCTAAGTGATTTCGCCCAATGCAGAAATTAATTGTCGGACAGGATTGTAAACATTTCTTAGAAAAAGAGTTCCTGAGCTGTGATTATCGTACCAATACCTATTATTGTACAAACTGAAGATACCATCAAAAGTGTGTCATGATGCTTGAAGAATGATGCATGTTAATTTCTTGTATTTTTATCATGTATTCAACATACATATTAATATATATAAACTTGATATTTTTATAATACTTAATTCAATAAAAATTGTTGTGACGGAATTACATTGGCATGTTTAGAGAAAGATAAATGAAAATAGTCATAAGAAAAATATAGATGTAGAGATAATATATAGAATCGAATATAATCATTATTTATTTATGAATAGGACAACGTATATATCAACATATGTCATAATATAATAGAGGACATTTGTCTTTGATTTTAAAAGAAGATTTTGTTTAGGTAATAAAAAAAATTGATAAGAAATTCACGTAAACAGTTTTACGATTTAGGCAATATTGAATTTATTTTTTTTATATCTGCAATATTTTTTTCTCTGTCTCTATTATTTGAAAATATATTTTATTTTATTGAAATATACAGGTTGTCCTGTAATTCACCCGACATCGCTCGTAGGCAGAGCGGACTAAATCCTGAGTTGAAAAATCCTCTATCATTTTGCAATTTTTACAATAGTTAACAAGATATTGTTGTTCTTATGACGTAGTAGTAGTAGTAGTACCAAATTCAACCAAGATGATGAATAAAAACACAAGAAGCATAGTACTTGTTTGCTCACGAGGCTGAAGCTACGGATGATGAGACTCGATTTTCGTTAGTATTTATAGGTTTTCATCGACATTCCCACCCTCTCCGACGCTGCGCATAAATAAAATTATTCTGTGCGCAGATGAAAAAAATAAAAACATAAACTTTCTTAAAATTTTTCTTAAAAATTTAAAATAATCTTTACCCCCGTAAAAAGTCAGGTGAGGTGGTGAGAACAAGATAAACCGAACCATTAAAATTGTTTTTTTGTATCTTCTGAAAGGTTTTAATGTTTATCAGGCGTAGACCGATATTGTGTGACATTCCTTTCCAGTGAGTGGATAAAAAAAACAGAAGATAAAAGCGAAATGAGAGAGTTTTTTTTTTCGTGATAATTTGTATTGTGGTCAGAAAAGCTGATTGTGAACAAGATAAACCGAGGCATTGAAATTGTTTTTTGTTTTTTCTGAAAGGTTTTAATGTTTATCAGACGTAGACTGATATTGCGTGAGATTCCTTTCTAGTAAGTGTATACAAAAACAGAAGATAAAAGCGAAGTGAGAGAGATTTTTTTCGTGATAATTTGTACGGGGTCAGAAAAGCTGTTAGACCGACCATAGGGATGGTGATAGCTCAAAAGTTTTTGTCATCCTCGCTTCTCAAAATTTTATGAGAAAAGCACTTCTAGTAAAGGAGGCGGACGATTACCAAAGTCGTCAAAAATCTATGGACCTATGAAGGGACTAGGAATTTTTGTCGAGTCTTTTCGTAGGAGAGGAATTTTTATGAATGTCGCTACAGGCATAAATAGCACGCCTGATCGAGCTAAAGTTTAGTCCTACATTCAAACTCCGAAGCGAATTATACTATTCGCGTGTTTTTTTAATTTAATTTAACAATGGATCTTCGAGGGTTGTTAGGAAAATTTTTTATCGTAGCTGGCAACTTAAATAAAAAAATAGTTGCTGGCGATTATCTGACAAAGTTGTCAGATAACGACGAGAAAAATTATTCCGTTTTCGGGAAATTTATTGGTGAGTGCTCCAGCACACTAGTGTGCGTTATGCACAAACTAGGACATTGTGGTGGTGACGTAAAATTACAAAAAATAATCGCAAGTCATCTCGAAATACGTGAGTGCTTCGGTCACGAGGAGGATGACGCCGGAAGTCACATAGCTGACTTCAAGCGATACACTGAACTAAGAGGTAAGCACTAATAATTTTAAAAATAGAACCTAATACATATTAGAAAAGCTGATTTTATAATTAATAAATATTATAATTAAATTATAATAATTATTTCATAGATGCCTGCAGTAATGTAGGGCGTGCGATACCGCATCGCGAGGGTCGGCCGATAAGACGACTCTCTTTAAGGAGACGTCGCCCTGCGGGAGGAGAAGAAGAAGAGGAGGGAGTACCAGCGAGTAAGTTTTAGAGAAATAAATATTAACTAAGCGATTATATAGAAATCCCGAATATTAAAATATTTTATTTTTTTCTAGGAAGAGCACGAATCGAAGAGGAAGATAATGTTCCGGCTCCACATGACGTCCCCGTCATTGTAATCGGTAGGTATTTCGAGAAATACCCCGAGAAATCTAGTTCGTATAATATAGTTGTAATATGCGATAAAGAATAAAATCAATTTTGTTTTAGATGATGATGGTGACGATAACACTCATGGGGATGACACCGTGAGTCCAACCGATTCCAGAGCACTGGTCTCCCCGGGTTCCACAATTTTCATAACGTGTAAGTTTTTTTTAAAAAAAGTAAATTAGATGAATATAGAGAGAGTTAGCTATATGCAGAGTTCAAAAATAATAATAATAATAAAAATTACTTTTTAGCTCAGGAAACCGAAGAGGAAATGGGGGAGGAAGAGGAGGAGGATAACACCGATAATGATGATAATGATGATGATGATGACGATGTTGATGATGATAATGATGCTGATAATGATGACAGCGGCGATAATGCTGCCAATAACATGGAAGTCATCTCCAACGAGAGTAGCAACGTCGATGACAACGGCGATGATGGAGAGGAGGAGGAGGAGGAGGAGGAAATAACTCAGGAAGCAACAAAGGAAGAAGATAACAGATATTACGTGCCTCTTGGAAACGAAGGTAATAATCTTTTTATTTTTTTATTTTTAATTTATTTGTTGCTCGAGATACTTACGAAGATATTTTTTATCAGATATTTCATACTCCCCCGTTCTACCTACGAGGTCTGTTCAAAAAGTTTCGCGAATTTTGTGTTTTTTCAAAAATTATTTATTTATTCATGAATATCTATTTTGTCCCCTTCAAAGTAATCTCCATCAGATATTATACACTTGTGCCAACGTTTTTTCCAATCCTCGAAGCACTTCAAAAAATTATTTTTTGTGATCTTGTTCAGCTCCTCCTTCGATGCCGTCTTTATCTCCTCAATCGTAGCGTAGCGTCGTCCTTTCATGGGCCTCTTCAGTTTCGGGAACAAGAAAAAGTCACAGGGGGCCAGA